GTGGATCAATGTGCCTCAATTTCTCAGAGGCTTTCAAAATCTATATTTAATTGTGGGGTACCTTGGAGATATTTTATTATAGTAAATGGCATGACCTATGGCTTTATGTAACTGACCTCAAGACAAAGGCAGCCGGAAGAATTGGAAACTTTAATTGCTCTATTTGCTTGGTTCTCTGATAGAATTCCTGATAGAATTCATATCCTACCCAAATTCCAGTTTATTTTCAAAGAGTAATAATTAATCAAATTCTAGCTAATGAATATTATGATTAGCAATCTACTTTTGTAAGACCAACTTAATATTGTTCACATCTGTATATGCAGCACCTCAAACAGCACATGGAACTTGGGATGCATTCAATAAATATTTGTTGACTGCTAATGAGAGTATTTATGCCTTTCATTAACATTATTATTATTATTATTTTAGATTTATTTATTTATTAGTACAGAACTGGGGTACAGGTCAGAGATGCGGAGGGTGAGAGGATTCACCAGAGACAGAGTGGGGAGCAGAACAGGCAGATCGAAGAAGTACACTGCTGAGGGGAGCAGCGGGCGGGTCAGGAGAGGTCTGCCTCGCCATGTGGTCACCTCTGGGGCAGGTGGGGATCGAACTTATGCGGAAGTGGCTTTAGCTTCTTAGTGCTGTGCTTTAACCCGCTGGGCCACCAGGGAGGGCCCTCATTAACATTATTGAAGTTAACAATACTAAGTCAAAAATAAGCCAAGTAAGTAGTACAAATTGAGCCTATGATTTTCAAGTTCCTATTTCTTTCTTTTGGCTTAGTGCACTTCCATTCCCATAAAAGAAGATGTATGCTTAAGTCAATCTTGACTGTTTAAGTTCCAGGAGTTTCCTTACTTGAAAGCATAAATTCCTGGCTATGTTTGAGGGTACTCAAAGCAAGAAGATCCTAAACATTTTGGATCTGTTCTATGCTAGGAAAAAATTCAGAAAGGTGAAAGGTCTCTAATACACACTGTCTTCCAAACAGGTAGAAGTCAGACTGGATTGTTGATTTCCTTTCTCATATGCTTTCATTGTAGAAAGACAAGTATACTGTAGCAGTAACATTTGCCAATCACCAAAGTAGAACCCGGAGTTCTGGGCTGTATTTTAAGGCTTGGCTTGCAACTAGTTTGCTCAATTATCTCTCAGAACAGCTACTGTATATCTGCATGTACTTTTTTATGGGGCATTTGCTAAAAAGTCACATAAGTTTGGAGCTCTCATTTGGATATAGACTTCACCAAAGTAAGATTATTCTTATCAAATATGTTGATTGAAACATAATATAGGAATTAAAATCTGATTTTCTTTAATGCTTGATCACTGTATTCTTTGGGAGGAAATGTCAATTCTCTTTGGACCTTAGAGTGACTTATTTTAGTTTACCACACTTTCATTTGGGAAATTATTGCTATAGGTCATGGTGCTAAATGGTATATTTGGAGCCTGAGCAATTTAGTGAATCTTGCTTATGTGTCTTAATATACCACCCTTAAGAAGCTTGAACACTAAAAGCATATACCTCATTTGTTTTAGACATACACATTTATTCATTGGTGTAGTTTTCCCTCATTTAGTTGTTATTTAGGTGTGAAGTAAAAGAAAATGCAAGGGAATAGTTTATTGTTCATTAGCTTTTTAATCAAGGCTGGTTTTCAGAATATCACCAGATTACTACCTTATTCAGATTTCACTTTGAAAATGAAAATTTTCATTTGCCCTGTGAGACCAAAGCATTTGCATACAGTTGTTTTGAGAGTATCATATTTTGGGCAGTTTCCTGTCCTTAAAAAAAATAAGCTTAAGAACTTCAAAAGATATTTTGATTGTGGAAACTAAAGGAAGTACAGGGGAGGGAAAACTTTCCTTCACCCTTGTAGTCTCCTGATAGGCTTCAGAATGCAACAGGCATAAGACAGTAAAGAGGAGCTTTCATGAGAGAATGGAGACCTGATGAAGTGGCCACATTGGAAAGCCGTTGGACAAACAATATATTTGTAAGGAATTGACAAGACCAGGATTCTGGCTCCAGGCGGGAGAGCGTGGACAAGAGACTAGACCTGAGGGTTAGTTTAGCAAAGATAATTTCTCTCAGCTCTGGGAGGGGGCCGCCCTGCGTCTTCCCCATACAGAGATGAGAATTTCCACGTGGAGTTTTATCTTCTGCTTTTAGGAAGAAAAGGAAGAACCAGACTGTCTTTCTTGCATCTGCTGTTTTTCAACTGCCTTCAGTTCCAAATAAACCTTATATCAAAGAGGCATATTTTAAAATGGAATTCTGGTTTTCTTCAGAATAGATTTGTTGAATTAGATTTGTTTTAGGTACAGTTGAACATTTTCTAACTTTTTCTTTGCTGATTATAGGAAAGGAATTTAAATAAAAATACTAATAAATAACACAAGGACTGGTAGAAACTATATTGAATCTGAACTAAGAAAATAGCAGGTGAAAAATAACTATTTGAGGAGGGATGGTGCTCATGATATAAGGGAGAGACCACACAAAACTCAAAACAAAGGACTTTAGTCTCCTATGTTTGGATTTCAATTGTTTTCTTGAATGAATTAAAAAAAAAGATTGCATCACTTCCTGAGTCCAACATTTCAGACATTATTCAGCCTAGTCGGTCATTACTGAGCCATGTACTCTCCTTTCTTTGCTCAAAAGTTGCAATCACTTGGAGTACCTTAAACACCAAATCATCCTGTCCACACTCCAGTGAAATGCTCAATTACTTTGTGCTGGGCCTTGTGTTTGAGTATTGTCTTAAATCTTCCAGAGGATACTAATAAAAAGACAGGATTGAGACTCTCTAGTTGAAACCTTGCTCCTACTATAATTTATACTTAATATTTGAAGAAACAAATCAAGCAAAGTGAGGACTGAAACTTGCAAAGATATTTCCTAAAATGTATGGGACACCATCTAATAAGGCTGTGAGAGAAGTCACAGGCTTACTAATGCAGGGCAAGTTATTTTCCTTTGAATTCATTTCAATAACTTTCTACATTGGCATCTAGTACATCTATTTTTGGCTAGAGAACAAATTGTTTTCCGAATCACCAGTTCTTGAAGTGTGAAATGAAGATCCCCTCTAGGAAAATACAGTTTGATTTGCTATGTTCCTCTGAGCATGATTCATAAGTGTATCTGAAGCCTATAATCTTCCTTAAGCTCTTCAGAATTGTGAGTAACATTTGAAAGAATTTGGCATAATCGTGTATAATGTAAGACTCAATGGAGCTCAGTAGATATTAAGAGCTTTGTGGAGCTGTACGATGATGTCTGTCATAGTACATTACTTGCAGATCAAGAAAAAAAATGCAAAAATAATCTCTGTCTAGACAGTATTATGTTACAGGTGTGACTGAGGGGCCGTGTGTGTGAGAGTGTGTGTCTGTGTGTCTGTGTGTGCGAATGTGTACGAGCTCAAGCGAAGCTAAATATACAGCACCATCACTGATGTCAAGAAATGTAGTTTCTTTT